TTTATGGAGTTAGGCGTAATCTTTTGAATACACTCGCCTTTTGTCTAAATTTTCTCAATGATGGATGTTTTGTTTTAATTTTGCGTAATAAAAATATACTTAATATTCCTTTACTTGTTAGGTATTTTGCCTTTTGCCACCTGTTAAAAAGTTAAAAAAAAATGATTTAATAAAATAGTCAGTCAAGGATTATTTTTATGAGAATAGTTTTGTCTAACCAAAAATCTCACACTGAAAAAAGCAGACAAATACAAAACGTGCATCACTTCGAAAAGTTGTTTTGAAAATCAATATTTTTTGGCCTTCTAAACTGATAATGATGTTTTTAAATATTTTTGATAGTTTAAATTGGTTTGTTTTTCCTGTTTCTATATTTAGAGATACCATATGATGTTTATTTTCCTCTTCCAAAATGTCGGCCGAACCCTATTGAATTATACGACCGTTTTTCTAAGCGAGATCAATTGCGTAAAGTATTATAATTAAACTTTTAGTAAATGAAATCTTGAAGCCTGTTGAAATTTACCATTGGCTGTATCAGAAGTTTGATAATGAAAAATCAGATTCTCAGGTGTATCGGTGAAGTGAGTATTTCCAGGAAGGAAAAAAAATATTAAAAACGTACCTCATGAACTCTATCCCCATACAAGCGTAATGCCAAAAAAACATGTGGTTGAACAACTCAGTTTCAAGACATCACCAAGACATACACTCCACAGCTGACGAGTGCTACACTCGCTTCGGGTCAGTGAGAAATATTGTAATGTTCATCTTACAGTCCCAACCTTACCCCCTGTGATTACAATCTTTTTGGACCACTGATGAAGGCGTTAGGTCGTCACCAACTTTCCTGCGTATCTAGTTTCAGTCTCAACAAAGAACATTTAGGTTTTAAAAATCCTAAATGCTGGCAGAAGTATATAAAAGTAAAGTATAAAGTAAAGTATATAAAAGGAGATAATATTGCAAAAATGTAATACGTATTTCATATATTTTTTGTAACAAAGTTTCTCTCGATAAACAATTGCATTCATATTTGAACTGGCCTCGTAATATCAATAAGGGCATAATTTTTTTAATAACTAGGTTTGAAGGAGATAAGGAAGTAGCTTTGGGAAGGTGTGAAAGATAGTTGTTAAAGGCAACTATTTTTCTATGAATATACAGATTTGTATTATACCAATCCAATATCCGAAATAGCACAAACTCCTCCTGAGTATAACCTCAGTACCTACATCTGGTGGGCTATATCTGTATTTCCTAGTTATAAATCATTCTGGCTTTGTCTAGCCATAGGACGTTCGACATTTGAGAGATACCTGATATTACATATCTGGATATCCTCTGGATATCCCACGGTAAATCCCAGAGATATATGGTTTAGACGATATGCTATCCTCAGGACAGTCTGAGGATGTCCGAATATTATGGCAAACATAGATTATATTCCAGATATTTGAGGAATATCTTATGTTACAAATCGGAACGTTCTCAGAATATCCCACCGTACCTACGCCCAAGGACATAGAGTTTGGACTATGTATATGCTATCCACAGAACAGTCTTGAGTATGTTTGGATATTTTAAGGGATATCAGTCATATTTTTATTATTTGTCAGCGCAGTAATTATCAAACTATATTCAAGTAGGTACATTATACAACAAAAAGATTGAGTTACATTTTTTCCACAAAAATAAAAACAATATATTTCCGAAATTTATTTCTTATAAAGAAATACAAAGTTAAGTATATGCTTATTTATAAAAAAAAACTATGTTGGTTTAGTTTAAATAATCAGAGTAACAAAATGTTAGTCAAGCCTAAAGTGGAAATTATATTAGGTAGATACTTAATTTTTCTTACAAATTATCAAAATTGTTCACTTTAAAAATGTATAGTTGATTACGTGACTTGAATTAAGTAATTTCCTATCAATTCATGAGATACCTTATTCAAATGTGTGAGCTCAGTTAAGAGCTAAAAATTGGTTTTAAAGAAAACAATTATATGTATATAAAAGAAAAATAAAACTTAACTTTAAAATTTTATTACGCAAAGACAGAAACTAAATGTTTATTTTGAACATCACTAAACAGAAACAACAAACGCACTCACTAAAATCAGTGCCACTGGGAATAAAAATGTACACGACATCATAAAACCAAAAACAATGCTATGGGTGGACCAATATGGAGACACTATTGTGTTTGTTCACCACAATCACTAAAAATAAAGACAGGCACATGCGCAGTAAACGATATGTAGATGAAAGATAATAAATTGTAGATCCCATTCGGAGGATCCCCTAAGGGCATCCCAAAGAGTATATATACTTCCAAACTATTAATGTGATATCCTCTGCCTGTTAAATAAAATGCCACGTATATACGAAATAATATTGGTCCACGGGACCACGTACAAAGAAAACAATGATTACCAGCAAGCTGTAACTTTGCGTGCAGCTTAAGTTTGACGAGTCTCCCAAGATTTGACTACGAGGAAAATTCAACAGTGGTAAGTTTTCCCGTGACTTTCAGGAAAACATGTCAGTCTGGCATAGACATGGAATGTTATGACCAGCACTTTTTTTTA